GATCCTACGGGAATAATGCTGTCCGCTAGGTACTTTTTATGTCTTTGCCAATTTACTTTGAATTCATAACCCTCTTTTGAAACTATTTCCACTGCACCAAAGGGAAGTACCTCTTTAATAGTGTAAGGGCTTGACCATCTTGACTTGATTTTTCCCGGAAACAATTTGAACCTTGTTTTGAATAATAACACCTGATCTCCATCTTTAAAGTCCTTAGGTAGAATCATGAAAAGCTCTGGTCCTTTCTTTGTAGATCTTTGAACTCTCATATGACTCTAGCCTTATCTCCTAAAGCTCATGAAGATCTAGAGACCTCTTTTCTTTTGCAGTCCCTATGTCAAGGTTTAGAAGCTTGGTTGCCCCAATAGCTCTATATTCCACTTCAACAGGGAGATGACAACACTTACCATAAAGAAGCTGAAAAGGGGTTCTGCCTATTGGAGTTTTAAAGGCTGTCCTATAGGCCTAAAGGTTGTCATCAAGCTTAGTTGACCAATCTCGTCATGATATCCCAACAACTTTAGCTAGGATTGCTTTTATCTGCTTGTTACTAACCTCGACTTGACCACTAGTCTGAGGGTGATAAGCAATAGCTACCTTGTGCTTAACCCCATTCTTTCTCAAAAGGTTCTCAAAAACCTTGTTAATGAAATGTGAACCCCCATCACTTATCACTACCTTTGGAATACCAAATCTTGGGAAAATGATGGTTTTGGAAAGCTTTAAAACCAATTTGGAATTATTTGTTGGGCTGCCTATTGCTTCCACCCATTTTGACACATAATTAACAGCTACCAAGATGTACTTGTTCCCATAAGAAGCTGGCTCGAAAGGTCCCATAAAATTGATTCCCCATACATCGAAAACTTCTACTTCGAGGATCAGGTTCTGAGGCATCTCATTTCTCCTAGAGATGTTCCCAACTCGCTGACATCGATCACATCTTGTTATATGCTCATGTGCATCTTTAAACATAGAAGGCCATCATAACCCTGCCTGTAGAACCTTCTGAACAGTTTTGAATGTAGCAAAGTGACCTCCATAAGGTGAATTGTGACAAAGCTCTAGAACTCCTTGAACTTCTTCTTCAGCTATACACCTTCTAAACGATCCATCCACTCCCTTTTTATACAAGAATGGTTCATCCCAATAGTAGTGATTGATGTCTCGGAAAAACTTTTTCTTCTGATAAGCGTTTAAATCACGAGGGACTATGCCACCAGCTAAGTAGTTAACAAGATCCACATACCAAGGTAATTTTCCACTTCCTGTAGCACACATCCTTTCAATCTTGAACTTGTCAAAACCAATCCCAACTGCTAGGAGTTACTCTTCGGGCATGGAATCATCAATTGGGGCTGCCTCTGTCATCCTCATTCTTGATAGGTGATCTGCTACCCCATTCTCTGATCCTCTCTTGTCGACAATCTCCATGTCAAATTCTTCTAGAAGTAGTATCCATCTCAAAAGTCTTGGTTTAGTATCCTTCTTTGCATATATGTGCCTCAAAGCTGCATGATCTGTGTAGACAGTGACTTTTGAACCAACTAAGTAACTCCTGAACTTCTCAGAGGCAAAGACTACAACCAATAGCTCATTCTTAGTAGTTGCATATCTACTATGAGTGTCATCCAAGGTCGTGCTAGCATAGTAGATTACATGGAGCTTCTTGTCAATCCTTTGACCTAAAACTGCTCCTACAGCATAATGAAGCATCACACATAATCTCAAAAGGGTGGTTTCAATTAGGTGCTTGCACAATGGGTGCTGACACTAAGGCTTCCTTTATGGAGTGGAAAGCCTTCAAGCAGTCCTCATCAAAGTTGAACTCGGCCTCTTTGCATAGCAGCCGAGTTAATGGTCTAGCAATCTTAGAAAAGTCCTTAATGAATCTCCTGTAGAAGCCTGCATGTCCCAAGAAACTCCTAATATCCTTAAATGTCTTAGGCGGTTACAACTGAACCATAACATCAATCTTGGCTTTATCAACCTCAATTCCTTTCCCGGAGATTTTGTGCCCAAGCATTATTCCTTCTTGAACCATGAAGTGACATTTCTCCCAGTTTAGAACTAAGTTTGTCTCCTCACACCGTTTTAGAACCCTGCACAAGTTTAACAAACATGAGGAGAAAGAGGATCCATAGACCGAGAAATCGTCCATGAATACCTCCATTATCTCCTCGATGAAATCCGAGAATATAGAAGTCATGTTTCGCTGGAAAGTTCCAGGTGCATACACAAACCAAAATGCATTCTCTTATAAGCAAAAGTTCCATAATGGCAAGTAAAAGTAGTCTTCTCCTGATCATTAGGGTGAATAGCAATTTGAAAGAAACCACTATAACCATCAAGAAAACAATAATAGACATGATTAGCTAGCCTTTATAACATTTGAACAATGAATATCAAAGGAAAATGATATTTTCTAGTTGCAGCATTCATTTTTTTGTAATCAATGCACATTCTATGTCCTGTTATGGTTCTAGTAGGAATGAGCTCATCATGATCATTTTTTAACTACAGTCATTCCCCCTTTCTTAGGAACACAATGAATTGGTGAGACCCAAGTGCTATCAGAAATAGGATAGATGATATCAGCATTAAGCAATTTCAGAATTACCTTTTTCACCACATCTTTCAAGTTTAGATTTAACCTCCTTTGCGGTTCAACACTAGAATATGATTCATTTTCAAGATGAATTCTATGAGTACATAAGCTAGATGAAATTTCCTTAATATCTGCTAATGAATATCCAATTGCTCTCCTATACTTCCTAAGTTCAATCAATAATTGATGCACTTGTTCATCACTCAATCCATCATTTATGATAATAGGATAAGTATCATTGGGACCAAGAAATGCGTACCTCAAACCTTTTGGGAGAGGCTTAAGGTCAACCTTTGGAGCTTTGAGCTCCGACCAGTGATCAGAGATGTTGCTCGATCGAGTACCCTCACGTGTTCCAGTCAAGTTTGGTTCCTTAGTGGTCTTGTTCGACTGACTGCTCGAGTATATAGGTCGAGTAGAGCTTTCTTCCTCTTTTGTGACTGAACTGACCACTTCTGAATAGATATTCAACTCCTCAAATGTCTCCCATGCTTCTACTGGCTTGTGGGAGTCTAGTAACTCTCTGTAACCCTGAGTTTCTAGGTGTAAGTATCCCTCTTCTCCATCTTTGGTCAGAGCACTTTGTAAATGATTTTCCTCATTGAGTTCCTCAAGCAACTCATCTGCCAATCTGTCCATTTCTTCAGTATAAACAACTTGACCTTGAATGGTTGGCTTCCTCATGGTTTTCTTAATATCAAAGGTCATATTGAGGTTTCCTAAGGTTCAGATCAATTTTCCCTTTTCTGACATCAATCAAGGCTCCAGCAGTCGATAAGAAGGGTCTTCCCAATATGAGAGGATCCTTAGGTTCTTCATCAATCTCTAGAACTACAAAGTCAGTTGGAATTTCCACTGATCCGATCGTCACCGACAAATCTTCCAACATGCCATGAGGTATTCTCACTGATCTATCAGCAAGAACGAGCTGAATAACATGCTTTGTACTTAGAGAAACCTAGCCTTTTTGCAATAGATAATGGCATAAGGCTGACCGAAGCTCCAAGATCGCATAAGCATTTGTTGAAAACTAGAGGGCCTAAAGAGCAAGGCAGAGTAAAGGAACCTGGATCGCCTAACTTCTTAGGAATCACCTTTCTCTGTAATATGGCACTACACTCATGACTCAGCACTACCATTCCTTGAACTTCTTGAATTCTTTCCATTATCATATCTTTCAGGAACTTGTGAGAGTCTGGAATAAGCATGAAAGCATCTATAAGTGGCATCTTGAGTTCTATCTCTTTGATGTGCCTAGAGAACATGGCTCTGTACTTTTCCAGAATCTGCTTCTTGAATCTTCCTGGAAAGGGAAGTTTGGGTTTGTAGGACGGTGGAATGAACACTTTCCTCTTTTCTTCTTCAGTAGCTGGTTTCTCATAGCTTGAAACTAGTACTCGATTGGCAGGCCGAGTATCTTGGTCGAGCTCAACTCTCTGGTCTACTTCTAGAGTTAAATCCTCCCCTTCGTGAACCTCACTCTCCTCAGTGACAAGTATGTGTCCTGGTGGAGATGGAAGTTTCTTACCACTACGAAGTGTGATAGCATGAGCATACTCCTTGGGGGTGGTTGATAGCTTTCCCATGGAGTTGGGTTATATGTGGTGGTGCTGAGGTAGATGCAACGCGCCCTTCCACGATACTGAGTTTAGAAATTATAGTTTCAAGTTGTGTTTGGATATCAACTAAAGAAGAATCCATCTTGGTATTCATTGCAACCAAATGCTGTTCGAGCACCAAAACACCGCTGTTTTGACTTTGGACTAGTTGCTGAAGCAGAGCTGTAAAGTCAGGAACAAGAGGGGTTGGTACTGGCTGACTTGGAATAGGTTGGTCGAGTTATTATCGCTGGTTGAAACCTTTGTTGAAGTGGTTGTTGAATGGAAGATAAGGTTCAGGTTGAGGTTGTTGTTGAAACTGAGGATAGACTTGATCATGTGGATTGGTCACATTGTTGTTTTTGTAGGAGGGATTGGAAGGAAGTGGCTTGTAATTGTTGTGCCCTTTGTTGTAGCCACCTTAATTATGTAGGTAGCTCACTTCCTCATATGGGTAAGTCTCCCCTTCTTGAATCTGTTGTTGCTCATCATCTGTGATGTAGTGAATAGGTCTCTCAACAATTGGTCTTGGTAGAGCAATTACCAACTTATCAATCTTGTCATATAGAGCCTGGATTTCCCTTTGATGTTTGTCCTCGATATCAGTGGCACCTCTAATGGAACGATCAAACTCATCACAATAATTCCCATTAGATTGAGCTAAGTTTTCCACAAGTTCCCATCCAGAGGCGACATCTTTGTTGAGAAAATTGTCATTGGAAGCAGTATCTAGTAGCATTCTTATCTTGGGTAATGCTCTTCTGTAGAGAGTACTAAGAAGTGAGGCTTTCTTGAAACCATGGTGAGGGGATTGAGTAGTGTAGCCCTTGAAGTGTTCCCAAGCTTCATAAAATGATTCGGATTGCCTTTGTGCAAATCCCGAGATCTCATTCCTCAATCTAACTGTTCTTGAGTTAGAGAAGAACTTGGCTAGGAATGCCATCTTACAATCTGCCCAAGTGCCTATAGATGAAGCAGGCACAGTCTTTTCCCAAAGATTAGCTTTATCTCCAAGTGAGAAAGGGAATAACCTGAGCTTGAAACTATCCTCACTAACTCCATTGATCTTGGTGAGACTGCAGAGTCTATCAAAACTATCAAGGTGATCCAATGGGTCCTCCATTGGAAGTCCATGAAACTTGTTTCCTTGGATCATGGAGATCAGACCACTCTTAATCTCTAAATTCTCATTATGAACAGGAGGTGGGACAATACCACCTCGTTGATGGTGGTTTCTTGGTGCATCTCCAGCACCAATGTTGCATGGCAACTCACAAATATTCTCTTCATTAGCCAGTACGACCGAATTTGAATGAGTAATCCAGTTATGATGATGCTCGACTTTTATACTCGGCGTGCTAGTCCAGTATGAGTACCTCAAAACAAAAACAAGCAAATGAGGAAAGAGGTGAGTAACCGGAAAGAAGTAAATAGAACTTGATCTTAATGACTCAGAAATCCTAAATGTAACAAGAAAAACACCCAAATGGCAACGACGCCAAATTGATACAAGGGTTTTGTGTGTCAATTCCCTAAATGCATCTTATGTCATTGTAGCATTTAAGGTATCAATTCCCTAAATGCATCTTATGTCATTGTAGCATTTAAGGTGTCAATTCCCTAAATGCATCTTATGTCATTGTAGCATTTAAGGTGTCAATCCAATTGCGTGGAATTGCTAACAATCAGGATGTGATCAGAGAATACTAAGTCAAGCCAAGTGTGAGTAAGTTTGGTGTGTTTCTACTAAACCTAAGCAACATGTTAACATGTAAATCAAATTCAGAAATGAAACATTACTAAGCAGAAGGTAAAGAACACAAGTGATGAAAAAAGAAATGAAACTAAAGACCAGTAACTGTCAAATGCAAGAACAAGAAAGTAAACCAAGCCCAAAGTGAAGTACTCGGGCGAGCATAATACTAAAACAGGTCCAGTATAATACTAAAAACACCAATTTTGCACGAGAACTAAACAAAACGAGCAGAGTACTAAAGACACGAGTTTTGCACAATAAAACGAAACAGAGCTCTTAAGAATGGGGTAATTGGTTCTAGTGGACTCCTCAATCCATTAGCTAACTAACAAACTCAATCAAGCTATCTCTAGACAATAGATTCAGAACCAAATCAATCCACTTTCGTGACAATGATTCTCATAACTTTACCACTTCCTAATCTCTATTTTCATTGATGAAACATAGCAAAGCAGGCTTTAAACACCAATCTATTAAAGTCAATAAACAGTCTAAACATCCAATGTCTTGGGCTAGAATCTACAAATCTCTGAAATTAGTTGGTTCAGACATTTCATCAAAGACTTATTAGGTGGAGAAAGTCTGAAATCAATTTTCAATTGATCAGAAAGAAAATAGCATTAAGAACTCCTAAAACAGAAGGGAATCATACATTTATAAACTTAGCTAGCTAAAGAACAGAGGAATCCACCTAAACCTAACCCATCCTCAAGAACTTTAAAGAAGACTACTCAAGAACAATGAAGAACATAATAGAACAAAACTCAGAAAAATTACAAAACACAGAAATCATTATAAACTTAGCAAATGATAGATCTCAATAAGATAAACAAGTTTGCAGAAGAAATGAAATTCAGATTCTCAACACAACAACTAGAAAATGCAGAAGAAATCTAAGAACCCTAATATCCAGCAGACAAAAGCAAAAGATATTTTGGGCAAAAATATAAGAGTTCTATTTATAGGCAATACGAGGATGTCTGAATTGGGAAAAAGACAAAATAAGAAAGTCGGCGCAGCACCACTCGGGTCTAGGCCGAGTAGAAAAGTCGAGCAGCTCCTCTTGGTCACATCACTCGGCTTCAGGCCGAGCAGCTTGGTCGAGTAGCTTCTCTTCTCCTTCATGTCCCTCACTCGACTTCCAGCCGAGTGCTTTGGTCAAGTATACTCCTTGTTCCTCACATGTGCTCCACTCGATCTCCAGCCGAGTACATACCCCGAGTATACTTCATGTCCTTCCTTTGATCACAAGAACTCGAGCTGGTCCGCTCCTTGTGCTAAAAACGTTCAAGTTGAGTCCAAAAGCACCTGATTCACCTATAAAATACTCCAAATGCAAGTATGCTATGCAATGCAATGCAAAATGTGAAAAGGAAGGAAAAGAGACTAAGAATGCATGAAAAGAGACATGAAACTAAGCTAAATGCAAAAAAACAAGGGCTTAAAATGGTTAAAATCTAGTGTTATCATATATTAGTAACGTTTGTGAAATATACTTTTGATCACAAGAACCCTAAAATACAAGAGACAAAAAGTTTGTCTATAGTTTTGAGATAAGATCTCAAAGGAACTAGCATTCCAGATTTGATTCAGTTTGTGTGCGCGTGGATACCGGTAAAAGCACAATACTTAGGGTGCTAAAATAATCTCGAAATATATGGTTCACCTTTCTGCTGCAGAATATCCTGGTATATTCAAATCCTAAGATCTAGATTTAATTCTTTGTTTACACTGCTCTTGGCAATTGAATTCGTTATTAGTATTTATAAATCGTTATAAACCGGTATGAATTCCTTCAGTGGTAGCAGAGCCTAAGTGTTTAATAATGAATTTGAATCTAGTTTGATCTATATTATGATATAGAAGAATAATTTTTATTTGTTTTATTATGTTTAAATTTTTGAAATCTAATTCGTTAGACATTGTAACACCCCAAATTTGAAAAATGGAAAAAGTTATATTTTGGGTTAAATTGATCATTTAATAACTGTATGACTTCAGGGAGACTTTTGATTGATTCAAAAGTCTAAGGCAAAATCCCTAAATAAAGAAAGGTTAAGGGACTAAACTGCAAAAACGAAACAAATGAGGGCAACTCGGGTTCATCGTTCAGAAATCAGAGGGATAGTTTTTGGCAACTCAAATCTCTGTCTCTCAACCCTAATATATTGTATATATATGCGTTTTAAAGCCCCAACAATTTAGAAGCCAATTACATAGTCTATTGGAGGTTTTGATGAGATTTCAAGGCCTTTTTTCATCAACTGCGATTTGATTATTTTTGAGCAACTTGTGATCGGATTTTGTTGTAAGTTAGGTTGATCGTGCTTCTCCATATTAGAGCTTTAGGTCTGGGTTGTATTCAGCTTTGGTACAAGAGTTTGGTAAGCCTTATCCTCTTCCGTATTCAAATTTTCTCCATGGAAGTGAGTTTCAAGTTGTTTAATGGTGGATTTCGTTTTAGGAAGAATTAGAACTTGATCTATACCTTGTTAGAAAGCTCTCTTCAATATGAATCTAACGCCTCTGAGCATTCATCAAACGGAAGTCGTAAACGATCGGAATCTGATTGATAAATATTTCGATTTTGTTGATGCATAGTCATATCAAGATTTATTTATGCCGGTTCTCAACGTTTTAAAACCGGTTCAGAAATGTTATGTCTATGGAGAATACTTGTTTGAAATTTAATTTGGAATTGATTGAGTTTTGATTTTAAACTCATAGCAATTCTGACCGGTTCGACTTGCTTTAAACCGGTTTTGGCAAATCAAGTACCTTTTCTAGATTTCAATTAAAAGTATCTTTCCGATGGTGTTGTTTACGTATTTTTCTGATTAAGGGTTGAATTTAGGTGAATTGTTTGGTGGTTTGGAATGTGTCCGAAATTACTGTTGATCACTCGTTCGATGTGAAGATCTGAATATCTTTATCATGTGAGTTTTAACTCCCTTTTTAGTTATTATACAGTTGTATAATATGTTAGGTGTGAGTTTAAATAATTAATTAATTTATTTGAAAGTTAATTTCTGAAAATTTATCCGTGTGATTCAATAAGTAATTTGTATATGATTATGATAATAAGATATGTTATTCTGTTAAGACCGGTATCAACATGCCACTCTGATTTAGCTAGCTTTATTAGCCAATCTGTGGCGGTCGGCATCGCCAATAGATGTATTCTGTAATCTGTTAGTCTGTTAGTGGTATTGAGGTCGGTTAATGTCATGGATCGTACTTCCTTATAAACCTTGTTAGGGGCCAGCATCCCTATCGAGTATTTTATATAAATATTCTGTTAGTATATGGTTTGCGTCGACCAATGATGGGGTTGTACCATTCTGACATGCATTGCTGGATACCTGGTCGTTCTGTTATGATGTTATTATTCTGTCTGATGATATTATTTTGTTCTGATGATTTAATTATGTATTTTGCTAACATAAGTTCTGATGTGCTGTACTTTATTTAAAATTAATTGAATTAAAACTATGTTTGTTAGTACCAACACGTGAACATTAGTCTGTGCGGGATCAGACCGTGTTGGTACTTGTTCTTCGGGTTTGTAGTTTCACTGGGCGATTTTTTGCTCACATAAGTTATGATTCCATACAGAGGGGATTGACGAGGAGCGGTATGCAGCTGAGGTTTAGAGTTTGTTATTTGTAGAACGAGACTTAGTAGATTTTCTAAAATTTAGTTTATTTTGTTTTTGAGATTTGGAGTTATACAAGATTTCAACTTTGTATATTTTGAAAATTTGTAATATTTTTATTATAATAATGTTTCAAAAATTCTTTTGAATTTTTGGTGCGTTACATACATGCCTTTCCACAGTTACAAAAGCTAAAACAAAATCCACAAAATGAAAAACATCGATAGATTATATAACTACCACAAAATGTAAAACATCGATAGTTGATAAGTCTCAAAACCATCTTTTCTTCGGACACGGTTTCAGGCATATTTTATGACTTATGCCAAAGCATTACATCATAATACATAGGTCGTGGAATCACTACCACAAAAGAAAATTATTGTCGAAAGATTAACTTTAAAATTCCCCCTTTGCACCCACTCATCATCCTTTTTTTTTTGACTAATTTTTTGTAAGGGTGACTTGCAAAATTGATAACACTATATTT